TTTGGGAGGCTTTATGAATTAGTCCTCACATGAATGAGAAATATTACCAAGAACTTTTCTTTTTTTTTTTTTTTTTAAAGATTTATGTATTTATTTATGCAAGCACTGGGTACAGTCAGAAGCGCGGGAGGGTGAGAGAATTCACCAGAGCCAGAGCGGGGAGCAGAGCAGGCAGAAGGACCGAAGTACACTGCTGAGGGGAGCAGCGGGCAGCAGGAGAGGTCTGCGCGCCATGTGGGACCCTCCTCTGGTGGCCGGGGAGCAGCTGGGGATCGAACTGGCGCTGCAGAGGCTGTGCGTAGTTTTGCAACCCAGCGCTCAATGGCCGCGCCACCCGGGAGTCCCCCAAGAACTTTTCTTTGGCTATCTAAAGAGGAAATGTCATTTTCTCATAGATACACATTTTTTTTTCAAATGTATTAGATCCGTGGTTTTGTTTTGGAGTGTCTTTATAACATTTTGGTGTTAGCATTCAGCTGTAAAAGTAATCAGGGAATGTACAACTCTTTCTGTGCTTTAAAAACCTGAGAATTATTTAATTCAAAAAAAAATAAAGAGGAAATTCTTATTAAAATTAGTCATCAGGAGGAAGTATAGGAATTATGTTACAGCAGTGTCTACACAATGTGTGGGGCAGAGCAGGCCCCGGGGAGTGGGTGAATTGCTTGGTGTGAAAAATATGCACAGCGCTCCCTTCAATGCTTGGACCTGTGTGATGCCACTGAAACTGCATGAGCTTTAACTTCCACACCTTTAAAGCAGGAGCACACTGAAATTGTTAGGTTGAAAGTAAGTGGCATTGGTTATATAAGGCCCTCTGCAGGGCACCCCTGGCACCAGGCCAGCCCTAGCAGTTCTATTGGGTACTGATCAGTTCCTGATTTCAGGACCCTATCAAATAATGACTTATCATTGTATCAACGTTAACATGTTTTTTCAACATTATTTTTTATTAAATGCCAAATGTACATCATCAAATTATTTAAAAAAGCATTTTGAAAAGTCTGAGGAAGAAAACAACAAATGCCTCCAAAATTCCATAGCAAGAAGTAACCAACATTAACTCTTGCTGGATGTCATCCCGGATGAAATTCTAAGGCTCTGGGTATAGCTAGGTGGGAAGGATAGGCGGCTATTTAGGTAGGTAAGTCATTAGATCTTATACTCGACATGCTATTTCCATGGAACATTTACTTAATTTCACTGGAATCGAACCAAAATACAGAAACTGAAGTGAAACTAGCATTTTGATCCTTTTCCCCCTACTGCCAGTGGCAGTATTTCCTCAAATTCTCCTCTGAACAAATATAAGTAAAAACTTCATAAAATCAGATAAGTTGATGTCATTTTTTTCCCTTTTTAATTTACATCTTTCAGTTTTTCAGGCAGTACTAATTCACCTCCTTCTATAAAAGATGAAGTGATTTCCACTCTAATACACCCATCCCCTTTTTGCCTCCTGGTTTTTGGTTACTTTTATAATTTTCAACTTAAAATGATTGAGAACACATTCTGTTCAGCAATAAAAAAACCTTTGCTAATGTGCTATTGCTTCCACTTACCCAAATGGATTTAATCCTCACCACTGGTTCACCATAACCTCCACGCCAGTGCTGGACACATGTGTGTTTCAATAAATTCATCTTGCCGTGGCATTAGCCTCCCAGTGTATTTTCTTTTCTTTTCTTTTTCTTTTTTTAAAATTTATTTTTTTATACACACACTGGGTACAGTCAGATGCGCGGGAGGGTGAGAGAATTCACCAGAGCCAGAGCGGGGAACAGAACAGGCCGACTGATGAAATACACTGCTGAGGGGAGCAGCGGGTGTGGCAGGAGAGGTCTGCATGCCATGTGGGACCCTCGCCGGTGGCTGGGGATCGAACCGGTGCTGCAGAGGCTGTGGGCATCTTCGCAGCCCAACACTCAACCGCTGCGCCACCAGGCAGGCCCTCCCAGTGTATTTTCTTAAAGGGCTCAAATAGTCCCTGAATTTTTCATGTTTCAGAACATCTCCAGTTTTAATGTACTTGAGTTACCCTTTCCTTTATTTGTTGCCTTGTAGGCATCACTCTGATTTCTTCTGGAAAGAGAATGATGTCATAGAAGGGAATTGGATGTATGCTGGAGGTGCAGGGGGGAAAGAATTCACCAGAGATGGAATGGAGAAGAGAAATCAGCTGCTAAGAGAAGCAGCAGATGAGACAGAAGGGGTCTGCTGTGCAGAGAGTGAGGGTCCCTTATACTCCAGGCATCACTGACTGGCGAGGGGGACTGGTCTTGGGTGTGTCCTGACTTGGCATAGAGGACCATCCACTCCTTGGAGCATCACCTCAAGGTCCAGGTTCCCCGGGTGGTCCCATCTACTCCCTTAATCCATTCAAGCCTCCCCAGCTCACCTGCTGGGCAAGAAATCAGAGCTTGGTTTTTCAAATTTAGCAATGATACCCCGACCAATGGTATGGAGAAATCTTAGGCTACTGTAATCTCATCTAACTCCCTTTTATTTTTTGCCAGAATCAAGTCATTCACCATAGTTAATGTTGATCAAGATTTGTCCAGTGTCTCCATGTAAATTGTATTCCTTATGATTTACAAATTTACTATTTTTCAATTGTCATGCCATTACATGTCTGAACGCCCTTCTCTCTGTTGGGTCCCCTCCTTGAGAAATGTAAGTCATCTTTATGTGGGCCAACTTTGAAGTCCTAAATCATCATCATCTTTAATTGATCAGTTTATCATTTTCCTGGGCATTCATGGTGATGTTCAAAAGCCTTCCTTTTTGCCATCATCTGAAGTTTTAGTGGGGCTAGTCTGTGCTTCTGGTTTGCATGTATTGACTGGATCTGCAAGACATTGTTATGTCTGTCCCTTGACAAATTCCTTAACTCAGTGCTCTCTGCCTCACAGCCGACTGCTGCCTCATTTTGCTTCTGAGTGTTGTATAAAGAACGCCGTCCTGAGCATTTTACTGTTCTTCTGCAGATTGCATTCCCTGTCTGTGTGCAGAATGCCTGCACAGGTGAAATCCTGGTTTTTACTCCTTTCTACCCATTCTTAGCCCGGAGAGCATCCCCCAGACTCTCCCTTTGCTCTGATCTAATGTGGGGAGGGCACAAGCCCCTCCCATTTAGCTTTGTCCTTGGCGGGGTGGTCCCTTCTTGTGCCTTTTCATTAAACTGATTGGACTGGGTTATTTTATGAATTATTTTATTTTATATAGTTCTTACATCATTTTTCATTTTTGCACAATGTATGTATTTTCATTTTGGTTATATTCCCCATATAATCCCCACCCCCTTTTTCTGACCCTAATCCCTCTTCTCCTCCTCCCTCTACCCACCGTAGTGTGTCTCTGGTCTATAGTTGCTTGTTGATTTTGATTTTTACTTTATTGCAATTAGTCTTTTTCCTGGTCCCTTATTTAGGTTTTCTAAATTCCTGCTATGAGAGAGACCACCCAGTATTTTTCTTTTTTTTTCTAATTTCGCTGAGCATGATCCCTTCTAGCTCCATCCATGTTTCCATGTTGCTGCAAATTGCATGTGTTTATCTTTTTTGAATGCTGAGTAATATTCCATGGTGTCTATGGACCACATCTTCTTGATCCAGTCATCTATTTTTGGGCATTTGGGCTGTTTCCAAAGCTTAGCTATTGTAAACAGTGCTGCTATAAACATAGGGGTGCAGGTGCTCTTTGGAATGGATGTTTCTGTGTCCTTTGGGTAAATACCTAGGAGTGGAATTGCTGGATCATATGGAAGCTCTATGTTTAGTAGGTCCAGAAATCTCCAGACAGCTCTCCATAGTGGTTGGACCAGTTTGCACTCCCACCAACAGGGCAGGAGAGTTCCTTTTTCTCCACATCCTCACCAACATTTGTTGTTGCTAGTTTTTTTAATATGTGCCATTCTCACTGGTGTAAGGTGTTATCTCATTGTAGTTTTGATTTGCATTTCCCTGATTACAAGTGATGTTGAACATTTTTTCATATGCCGGTTGGCCATTTGCATTTCCTCTTTTGAGAAGTTTTAGCTCTTTTGCCCATTTTTTTGACTGGGTTATTTACTTTGTTTTTGTTGAGTCTCATCAGCTCTTTGTAGATTTTTGTGATCAATCCTTTATCATTAGTGTCGCATACAAAAATTTTCTCCCATGGACTGGATTTTTTTTTCCGAAAACTCCTCTGGACTGTAAGGATACAGGAGAGGGTCAGTGAGAGCTCAGCTTCAGCTGCTAGTTAACCCAATACCAAGATCCCAGAAAGTCCCCTTTGTGGGTCCACCAGCAGCCATTTAGATGCATCTCCCATCACGTCCACTCCAGTCTCCCAGCAGGAATCAGTGAAAGGCCGGCCCCCGGCCCCCTGATCTTTCTGCAAAGTTGCTGTGCCTCCTGGTATCCTGCGTCCACTCCACGTTCCTTGCACATCATTTGTCATGTCCTGTCACTTTCCTGCTCAAAGTCCCCCACAAGATCCACCTCACTCAGAGCCTGAGTCCTCAGCGCATGGCCTGCATGTGTGGCCCTGGCGCCATTCTCCCAGCCCAGGGCTTGCTGCCAGGAACAGACTCTCCTGCCAGGGGGAGCTTTTAATGAGAAAAATGATTGAGATGGGGAAAGGACCAGGTCCCTCTCTGCAGAGGAGGATGGGGTACAAGGAGATGTTTCCAGTCGCTCCTCACAGAAGACATCCCCCTCCCCATACGGGGCTCTCACGTGTGAACCGTTAGAGCTGATAGGGCAGGCCGGTCATGTGGCTTCTGTTTCCCCCTAGTCCCTGGATGGGAGAGGCAGGTCGGGTGTCCTTGTTTGGGCAGAGGTATAGATGACCAGGCTCAGCAATTGCCCCCCAGAAAAGATTATTCTACAATGGGAGCTGGCTTCACATCAGACCTGAAGCTGAGCCAGACATGTGGCTGAGTCTGGGGGAGCAGGGCTGCTCTGTGACATGATAATTGGGGTATGGCATCCTGGCAACCAGGCTCTGTCTGTTATCTGCCATGCCTCTTGTGCATTGTGACACGAGCAAGGATTCCTAGAGACAAGAAGGATGAAGCAGTAAGATGCAGTTCCTAGCAGCAACATACCAGAATGTGTTTGCTGAGTAGCATAATGTTAATAGCTAACAGATAGTGAGCATTTCTCTCTTAAAGCACTTTGAATATATTAGCTTATTTAATCCTCACTGCAACCCAAGAGATAAATACTCATTATCTCATTTTAAGGATGAGAAATAAAACAGAAAATACTTGAAGAACATGCCTGAGTTCAGTCAGCAATTAAGCAGCAGGGCTGGATTTCAACCCGTCCGGGTCAGAAACTTCAAATGCAAGTGACACATGGCTCTCGACCTGAGTGTCCCAAACATGTGAGCTTCTTTTCAGGTTTGTTTTCCTCTTGGTTTGAATTTTATGGTTTCTTGAGTGTGGGATTCAATCTTTGAATGGGATGGAGGGCCTGGCTTTGGAGAAAAGGATGTGTTTGGAAGGCATGGGAGGTGATGGTCAGATGTTAGGAATGGTGGCCTTCCCCCACAAGCCTGCCATGGGGCTTCCTGCTAGGATGGCCCACCTGGGCCTCCAAGTGAGAAAGGCAGAGTGTGTGCCTGGCTGCAGGAGTGAGACTTCACACCCCTGGCCTAGGACACTTGTAGGGCAGTGCAGAGGCTCCTGCTAGGGTGTCGGCTGACACTGTGAGGTTGAGCAAAAACTAAACTTGCAGTTTGAGAGATTCTGAGAAGAGGGTTACAAAATTAAAAAGAATTAAATAAAATATGTGGTCTCTTTTTTCTCCCTCTTGCTCTGTGAGTCAGTTTTCATTCAGACTGTGTAGAAGAGAGGGACAGGCCATGGGTTTTAGTTTGGGTTATGTTCTTTTTGACCCATTGGGTAACAGCAGTGTGGAAATTTGAAAAGGTTTTCATGCAAGCTGCCCCTGACTTCCTGTTCAAAATGGCAGCTGGTTGGTTCTTCCCAAAGCTCAGCTGTTCAGCATTTCTTGTTAAAATGTAGGCAAGACAGGAAGCTAAAACTGGTGTTACAGCCTAAAGATAGAATGTGGCACAATTTGCAATAATTGTGGGGCAGAGGGATTTGGGCTGAAGATACCTACCTTGGCTCTCGCATAAGACACACACTTTCTTTCCTTCTTAAAAGAAGACCTGACTACAAAGGTACAGCACCCTCTGCTCCCACCCATTCTCTGTGCTCAACCTCAGCCTCAGACCTGGATTTAACTGGAAAGACAGCAGCCACTCCTTTCCTCTCCTCAGGTATTTTTTTTTTTAAGGGTTTTAATTTTTTTTAAAAAGATTATTTATACAAGAACTGGGGTACAGGCCAGAGGCGCAGGAGGGTGAGAGGATTCACCAGAGACAGAGCAGGGAGCAGAACAGGCAGACTGATGAAATACACTGCTGAGGGGAGCAGCGGGCGAGACAGAGAGGTCTGCCCCACCACGTGGGACCCTCGCCTGCCAGCCTGGATCAAACCAGCACTACAGAGGCTGTGGACAGCCTCACAGCACAGTGCTCAAGTGCCTCACCACCAGGGGAGGCCCTTAATTTTTTTTTTAAAGATTTATTTATTTATGCATGCAAGAACTGGGGTGCAGACCAGAGGTGCAGGAGGGTGAGAGGATTCACCAGAGACAGAGTGGGGAACAGAACAGGCAGACTGACTGAAATACTCCACTGAGGGAGGCAACAGGTGAGACAGGAGAGGTATGCTGCACTATGTGGGTATCTCCCTGGCTGGCCAGGGATCGAACTCGTGCTCTAGAGGCTGCAGGTAGCTTCAGCTCTGTGCTTAATCCCTTGCGCTACCAGGGAGGCTAAGGTGTTGTTCTCTTAAGCAGAGTTCTTTCTCCTTTCTCAGGTTCCTTTAGCTCCCATTTTCCCCTATCTTAGCAGAGTCTGGGAATCACAGCAAATCAATGGGAAGAAAACAGGGAGGATTTGAATCACCTCAGGGAGGCAAGTGGTCCTTTCAAATCTCTAATGATAGCTGCCAGAGGGGGAGGACTTGGAGAGCTCTGATGGCAGGGGTTGGGCTGTTCCCATCTTACATTACCTCTGAGAACCAGAACCTGGGCTGAAAGTTCAGAAGAGGGAACAGTAAGAAAAGCCCAGCATTCCAAGAGTAGGTGGTTAAGCAAGAAGTGAACTAAGATCTGTAGGTAAAAATCATGTTTTGGAGAAGAGGATTTGACCACCAGGAGGGTACACAGAGAGAAAATCACTCCTTGTGACTTCAACAAATACTGCCAAACCAGCCTTGTCCTGTCCAAGGATGAGTTAAATGAACAATATCATCATCAACAACTGAAAAATGCTGCCAGAAGAAAAAAATAAAAGGAAAAGAAAAAAAAAACAAGAAAGGAATAACATCAGTGAAGCAGAGAAATCCTGAGAATGATTTCCCTTCTCGTCTTGATGATCATTTCAGAAACCTAGACAGCGGGCTCATGAATTACATGATGGTTTCTCTGAAATAGAACAGAATGTCTGAAGGCAAGTTCTGGGCAAATGCAGCATTATATGGGGGGCTGGTGACGGGAGAAAGCAAGGAGAATATGTGCTCAGTGGCTGGAATTCAATTCCTGTTCAAGGCAAGGAAGGACAGCAGGGGTGCATGATGGTTTATCACCAGTGTGGAGACATATTTAAGAAACTCTCCAGAAATTTAGAGGAAAAGTACAGATATTTGAAAGGATTGGAATAACAATAATGGAAGTTTCAAAAACTCTGGCCAGAAAATATGGCACCATGTGACTCAAATACCCATTCTTGAGCTAAAGGGCAGACAGAAAGAAAATGACCTCAATTCAGGCTGATATGAGGATAAGAACATCACCTGTAGGTAGCCTGATGAAAGCATCACCTGAACGATATATACAAATTTCCATAAAAATCCACATAGGAAACCATGGTTCTAGGTTTTTTTTTTTTCCCTTTAGATTTGTTTATTTATTTATACAAGCACTGGGTACAGTCAGAAGCGGGGGAGGGTGAGAGAATTCCCCAGAGCCAGAGTGGGGAACAGAACAGGCAGACTGACGAAATACACTACTGAGGGGAGCAGCAGGTGACAGGAGAGGTCTGTCGCGCCATGTGGGACCCTCGCTGGTGGCCAGGGATCGAACCAGCGCTGCAGAGGCTGCGGGTAGCTTTGCAGCCCAGCGCTCAACCGCTGCGCCACCAGGGGAGGCACAACCATGATTATTTCTGAAGAAAAAAAAATTAACCTAGCTTTTGTCTTTCTCCCCCCAGTACATTACTGCCGGGAGATAATTTAGAAGCTTCTGTAGAGTGTGAAGGAGAAAAGGATATGCTATGCAGACAATCCAGCAAGCATTCACATATGCAGAGAACAGAACAATTTCACTGAAAATACAAAGGAGACAAAATATATTCTCTCCAAATTCTCCTCGAAAATTTCTTTAAGATATAATTGCACACTGAGGAAAGAAACACAAGAGTTGAGAACTAGATGGTCACCATAGAGAGGAAGGAAATAGCAGTGATAGCAACTAGAGATATGTTTACGCATCACTATTATGCTATGAAGTTGAACTGAAACATGAAATTTATTCAGAACACAGTATTTGTAACATACAAAATGTTAATGTCATAATAATTATCTTCAATGTTTACATTCAAATGATTACATGAGATTACATGAGGTAGGGGGTGCAAGAAAATAGAAATTCCAGAACTGCTCTCCTAGAGGATGTATGGGTTTTATCTTTATAATGTGTTCATAGATTTTATTTTTCTTTTGGTGTGCCTGCATGCTCTATTTTTCTAACATGCTTTTCTTGATTAATAAAGAAAGTGAAAGATGAAAATATTAACAACAAAGAAGAAACAAATCTGTTCTGGGACGTTTAGGTTGTTTCCATACCTTGGCTGTTGTAAACAGTGTTGCTATAAACATAGGAGTGCAGTTTTCCTTTCGAGTTAGTGTTTTTGAGCTCTTTGGATTGATATCTAGGAGTGGAAATGCTGGATCCTATGGCAAGTTCATTTTTAGTCTTTTGAGAAATCTCCATGCTTCTTTCTGTAGGGACTGGACCAGTCTCCATTCCCACTGAGAGTGTAATAGGACTCCTTTTTCTCCACACTCACCAGCACTTGTTGTTTGTGTTTTTTAAAATATGGACCACTTGTGTTTTTAAAAATATGTGAGGTGGTGTATTATTGTGTTTTTGATTTGCATCACCCTGGTGATAAGTGATAATGACTGGATCAAGAAGATGTACATATCCACAATGGAATACTATTCAGCAATCAAAAAGACAAATTCATGCCACTTGTGGCAACATGGATGGATCTGGAAGGAATTATGCTCAGCGCAGTGAGCCAGAAGAAGAAAGGTAAATACTGGACTGTTTCACTTATATATGGGATCTAAAGAAACCAAACAAAGTATCAGAAAAAAGACAAAATGGTGAGACTGACCCTCGGAAGCAGGTGGTAGATGTGAGATGCTCAGAAAGGGAGGGGGAAGGGAAGGAGGTGGCAAGAGAGCACTGGACTGTGGGCACATTGGTGGTGGGAAAACTATGGTGACTACAACTGAGGGAGAAATCCTATATTGTGAAAAAATATAGAAGGATGTTTAAGGAAAAAAAATTAAGAAAAAAAGAAATAAAATAACCTGTGAGGAATTTGACAGAAATCTTGAATATCAACAACAGAGTAACTTAGTCTCTGAGAAGGCATTTCTTCTTTTCATATTTGTGGGGCTATGACAGAGAGAGGCTAGGGTTGGGGTAACCCCTGCTGTGGCTGTTGTTGCTGTCAGTGTTCAGATCTGGTTGTCCCACGTTTTCCTGGGATGTAGGGGGAATGGAGGGAAGTTATGAGAGAGACCATTCAGCTTCTCATGGTGCTGCAAAGCTGTGAGAATATTAAGACCTTTATGTGACCCAGGATACCCCTTGGGATTCTGGATCCACTTATGGTAAGGTAGCAGGGGCCTCACTGTTTTCTCCAGATCAGGGCAGTGGGTGTATGACTTCAGAAGCATTTGAACATCTTCCTTGGTCTTTGAGACATGTTTACATGTCACCATATGCTATGAAGTTGAATTGAAACTTGAAATTTATTCAGAAAAGTGGGGCAGTAATAAGTTTATCTCAGGTATCACTTAGAGGATTCAGTACATTAGGTATGCAAAGCATCTCACATAAACAAGGGAAATGGTAAGTGCTTAACTGATGTTGCCCCTTTACCTTCCCAGCACTGTAGGGTGCTGCTAATCTAAATTTTGAGGGAAAGATTAAAGATCAGTTGTCCATGAGTGGCTTATCAAGAAAGTTCCTGATGTGTCTGCAATGGAGAGGAAGGGACTACAAAGGAGAAAGAGAGTGACATCACGGT